GTTAATAAATTGGCGGATGGATCGCTTTTCTGGAGGTAATAATTCCTTCAAAATTTGTTTTTTAAATAATTTGGTCACTCAGTCCTCGACTGTTTGTGAGACACTGCTATGTGCAATTGGCTGCCACGTTTCGCCCACAAAATGTACAGTCAATTCACTTTATAGTATATTCTGTGAAGTGCTTTGATCCGTCTCGAAGACATGATAAAGCACTCTATCAAATGCAAATGCATGGATTATTATTTTCTCAACTAGAGCTAACTACTCAAAACTTACTCCTTGGTCTTTCTCCATATTCTTTTATATTGTTCTTCTTCAAATATTTCTTCAATTTCTTTTGAATTGTTGTTACAGTACCTGCTGTGCTTTGTTTTCTCCATTCCCTACTGGGTGGTTACTTCTCAGCTCTTCCCTTTTAGCCAGAACCATACACAGTTTCATTAGCACCTTGATTGAAAACTGAGGCCCTCCTGATTGACTCGCGTCAGCGCCTCCGCACCTCAGGCGCTGAGAGCATCAGCATCCAAGGCTGCACTCTCCACCTCTCAAAGCCATTCAGGAACCTCGGTGTTCTGTTCAACCCTGAGCTGTCCTTTCTCCCTCATATCTGTGCCACAACTGGCACCGCCTTCCATCACCTCCGAAACATAGCCAGACTATGGCACTACCTCATCCCTCACGCTGCTGAAACTCTGGTCCACGCCTTTATCACCTCAAGGCTGGACTATGGGAACTCTCTCCTCGCCGGCCTTCCCAGCACCTCCCTCCACAAGCTGCAGGTCATTCAGAACTCTGCAGCTCGTGTACTGTCCCGCACCAGGCTTCGGGACCACATCACTGCCACCCTCGCTCGCCTCCACTGGCTCCCCATCCCCCAGAGGATCGAATTCAAGATCCTCATCCTCACCTACAAGGCCATTCACGGCCTTGCTCCCTCCTACCTCTCTGATCTACTATCCCCCTACTTACCTGCCCGTACCCTCCGTTCCTCTGACTCCGGTCTGCTCTACATCCCCCGCCCCAACCGCCCTATCATCGGTGGCCGGGCCTTCAGCCTCTCAGACCCTCGGCTCTGGAACTCTATCCCCCAGTGCCTTCGCCGCCTCCTCCCTTTCCTCCTTCAAGGCCGGTCTCAAGACCTTTCTCTTTGCCCGTGCCTTCAGCTCCCCTCTCGACTCTCTACCCCTTCCTCGCTCCCTCCCTTCCCTCCCCTCACCCTGACCATTTCCCCCCTGCTCGGGTCCTGACCCAACTGTACAGTGACTTGAGACGTCCTCCCGACGTGAAAGGCGCTCTATAAATGGAATCTTGTTGTTGTTTAATGTCGGGAGAACACATTACAAAGTCAGCTGGGAGCCTGAGTTGGTGATGGGGAACTGAGGAAGGTGATAGGGGACAAAGGTGACCGAAAGCACAGTCAAAAAGAATGGTAGTAGTACCCTTTAAATTCAGTTCATGTAGTTTGTTAATAAATTAGACTAACTGGTTATACAAGTGGTCTGGAATACAAAGGGTTTCATGCAACTAATGGAAATTATTTTGTTCTGGGTTTGATAACTGAAAGTGCAATGCTGATTGAAGGCATGATAAGCTAACAGACGGACAGTTCTCTGGTACCAATATGGTTGTTAAATCAATAAATAGATAGTTTTCAGTCAAATCTGTCACTCTATCGATCTTCTCAAGCTTCGTAATTCACACAGCAGTGTTTCAAATGTCAGCTTAAATTACAGCAATAATATCAGACTCAACTATGCATAAGTCTTCATAGACTAAATTAATTCCAGTCTAGTACATAGAGATTCTATGCCACTTTTGTGCAAATCTGTCTATGAAGGATTAATCATATTGCTGAAAGTGCTTTAAAGCAGCAGCGTCCAGCGTAAGTGGAGGTGATCATAAGAATGGGATTCAGTGAGTCGCAATTAGCACAGAGACTTCCAGTTGGTGATACAATGTAATTGCTTCACACCCCAAACTCAGGTTAAATCAAACCAATGTGTTTGAAGCATTCTCAATGGAACAAATGCATCATCTGCTGCAAGACAAATGAATCCCAACAACCAAAGTGGCAGTTTTTCAACAAGGTCTAGTAGTGTCTCTCGAACCAGCCTGATCCAGGCACTTAACAGGTTACTAAGAATATAATGAAGAAGGGAACAAGAAATGAGAAATCAACCAACCATGCATTCTCCATACACATCCAACAAAACCTATCCTATCATAGAATTTAGCTGCACTTCATGTACTGTCAACTCATGATATGAGGATTGAACCCACATTACCCTCAGCAAGCTATGGGTTCAAACCCTGCATCAAAACATAAACTCAGAGGACACAGCCTGGGATTGAAGGGGAATAAATTCAGAATGAATCTATAGAAGCACTATTTCAGTGAGCAAATAGTAAACCTGTGGAACAGGCTCCCTAGGCAGATGGATGAAGCAGGAAGTGTTGACTCTTTCAACACAGATTAAATCGTTTTCTTTTAGGAAATAACATTGTGGGTTATAGTATGTGCATGTGACCACCAGAAAGGTGGAGGGCGAACTAGATGGATCTTAGACTTTTTTTTGTCTAGCATTTCTTATGTTTGTATGTTCTTATGTCACAGCTTTCTTCATCTGCACCTCTCCTGTAATAATAATAACAATAAAAATAATGATCCTTGCATTTATAATGCCTCATTGAGAAACACTCACAAAACTGTCAGCATAACACTGGAGATTTATTACCCAATGGGGTCTGTCTACCACATGCCAACTGTAAATACTGAGAAACATCATCTTGGATTATACAGCTTCATCACATTGAAACATACAGTGTAGTGACTGTTTTTGAAGATGAAACTGACAACCATTTGCATCAGAAAGATCCCAGCGAACAGCCAGTTATGAGATGATAATCAACAAACAGACAGAGACTTGGTTCTTATTACATCAAAAACAACTGACAAACCGCTGACAAACAGTGCAACACTACTCTGCAGGGGCAACTTAGACAAACAGCTCAAGCCCTTTTGTTCATTATAAGCAATTAACAAAAGGACTTCTAGAATTATTGATCAGTGCCTGATAATCCTATTTTACACTTGATAATATGAGTTAAGAGCTAATTGCTTTAGAAAATTGAGCCCCTACACTACTTTGATTCTGTCTTGACTTCTTATTGAGTTTTTATCATCATCCATTCAAACAGTCTCAACTGCACATTCCTCCGTAAATAGGAACTCATTTCCAGTGAATAAGTTTAATATCTGCTTTAATTGCACATGTGTTACAGGTTATTGGTCCTAAATGAGAAAGTGATAATTCTTACTTGAAGCATGTTTGGAATTTCAGATGAAGAACACTGTTCCTAAATTTACTACCGCAAATTTAACATTTCAACCCCAGTGTTATAATAAGAATATGAATAATATTATTATGCAGTTATGTAGTGTATTCGCTAAAACTTAACAAATAATGTCATCTTATAATATATATATATTGGTCTCCAGGGTGGCTGACACATGTGAAAACCCATGTTGAGGAGTATCCAAACCAGCCTGAGAGGTCCATATAGCCACAGATATTTTCGTTTGTCTGGAATGATGTACATACTCTCTCCCTGGATATTACCTAATCCCAAAATTTGTTAGGCACAGGTTGGAAAGAGTAAAGTTAGGGGACACCAGAATGTGAGTTGATCTACTGCTGTATTATGAACACTGTCTGGTAAGCTTCTCTATGCTCAGCTAAGATCACCCAATATCATAAGTCTTTAGCTTGCAGCATTAAAAGGAGCCAAGAGGGAAAAATTGTTATGTTCAGTGACTGGTCTGCTTCTCCAAGTCTTGCCAATGAACCAGGCTGGCTGGTCTATCACCCACAGTCCTGGGAGAACTGTGGACCTACCTGACTCACTAACTGGATCACCTCCTAGACCATCACAGAGGGTGGTCTTAATTTTCCATGCCACCTTGGAGCCAGCTCAGTCCCAAGGATATTTCACTTGACTTCCCTCCACTAATTGATCATTAGACATCTAATAAATGCAGATTTGAGTTTTTGTTCAGAAGGTAGCAGTCATCAGGAACTCCTTGCAAGCTGCTTAGTGATTAGTACAATACAACATGAAATATAACAAGAGTATTGTTATCATCCTCCTGCCCACATCCTGACACATACTCCTACACACTGGATGGTGGTTCCACCAGCAGAATATAATACGTATGTTAAACACAACCCTATGTTAGATTCAAACTATATTATTATGTTTGGAAGTCCTACAAAAAGGTTTTGAACGGTATTTGTTTTTTGGGTTTTATTAAATTTAATCTTAAATTCAGAATTCGTTGAATATCAGATAATGCTGTGAAGGGAATGCCCCTCTACAGATCTTACATGTACAATGTTTTCGTTTGTGCAATCCTTCCATCGTAACATTTTTGCAGAGCCTTGGTGATTAAACTCAAACCACAGATGCTCTCTTAAGTTTATCAAACTGCAGCAGCTATTAGAAACCACAGATCGGAAATCATATCTCTCATGTAACCTAAGTAAATGAAAATACCCATAGCAACTACCACCCCTGCATAGTCTACGTCCCTGTACTCAAACCTCAGAAATAAGCCCCTGGTCTTAATTAGCTTTCTGAGATCAATTTTGTAAAGCACCATATACACAGGGATCAGCGGTCCATGTTTTAGAGAAAAGAGTCCTCAAAATACAAGGTTTCAACCTTCTTAGACATCACGAATAAGCTCTGCACATAAAATATTTGATACTGAGCTTTATGTTGGGCTTAATTAGGCAAAGTTGTTCAAAGCTTGTGCATAGGAAATGCTTGAGGAAATAAGATAATGAGACTGAATACATGTTGTATGTTATTCAAAGAGCTTGAAGTGTATTTTAAGTGGTGGTACACTATTACAGGGTTATATAGAAGATTCGAGTGTCAGGATGCAACACTTCTCTCATATCTGCATCACAAAACAGCCCCGATAAACTTTGAAATACCTTCATTCGTCTTGGCGTCAGGTTTCTCTTTTTCTCTGTTTGGAGTTGCCTGGATATGAACAAAAAAAGAAAAGAAATGACAGATTTTAATCTGGAGGAAAATGCTATTAACTCTCACACCAAAGTAATCTTTTTAAGCTCCTTAAATTTACAGCTGTTGTCTTTCAATCCATCAGGCCAAGTTTATAAATTCAAAATCAACAAACAAATGATCCATATGTAAAGGTCTGGCAAAAGAATGGCTGCTGCAGTTACAATGATTCAAAGAGTGTGAATCGGTGAGACAAGTCAAATTTAAGGAAAAGGAAGTATGTTTAAACTCATTATAAGTTGACAGTATATAAGAAGACCAATAAGACCACGCTGGTAATAGGTCCCTCAATGTGGCTATCTACTTTCATCCCATTACAAAGCTTCAAAAATGATAAGGGTGAGAGGTTATAATTCTGTCAAGAGACCTAAAAAGTCTAAACTGCTTTCAGCAGAACAGAGAAGGTTAAAAGGGAATCTAATAGAAATTTTCAAAATTATGAATGCTTTTGAGAGAGAAATGGTACAAGAGCCATAGTATCTACTGTAATCCCATTCCCCAGCTCTTACCCTTTAATATTATTTTTTCACTTTAATATCATATTTCTTCAAATAGTTATCCAACACATTTCAAATACGCTTAAGGCCTTGGCTTCAAAAGCAATTTGTTCTAAATCTCTTTATATTCCAACAATCTTCTGTGAAAACAAAATCATCTAACAATCCTCTTTTTTTCTGCTGGTGATGATTCTCAGTTTATACCTTTGTGTTACTGACTCAACGATCAATGGAAATGGTCTCCATTTACCTTCTGAAAACCATTCATGATTTTGAAAATAATAATAATAATAATAATCCTTGCATTTGATATAGCGCTTTTCACGTCTTCTAGATGTCTCAAAGTGCTTCACAGAATAGACCGTAAAGTGAATTGACTGTATATTTGTGGGTGAAAATCACCACTAGATCTCCGATTAACTTTTTTTGTTCCTGGGAATTGAATCCCGACTTTGTTAGCGTTTCCACAGAACTATAACCATAACTATAACTGAAACTATAACAGAAAAGCTTGCCTGTAACAAGATATGTATCATGCCAAACCATGGGAACTCCACTCTATCCAATCTACCTCTGGTTCCCAGAGTTCCCATGCATTCATCTGATGCACTTTGGGTCAATGTCAGGTGTAGCCTTGGGACGTCCTCCCGACGTGAAAGGCGCTCAATAAATGGAATCTTGTTGTTGTTGTTGTTATTGTAGTGTCATTATTTGTAATTTAACTGTGCACTCAACTGTGCAGCGCCTTGGGACGTCCTCCTGACGTGAAAGGCGCTTTATAAATGGAATCTTGTTGTTGTTAGAGGTTCCTGATACAAATCACTGCATATTGGACCTCATCAATGAAGAAAGTGAAATGAAATGACTCCTCTCCAATACATTGTTACTGCCTCTTCACAAAACACATCACAAGGTGATTGGGTTTCTTTTCTAACCCTTCTGCTCTGCACTTCTGAGGCTGGAATATCAATTCATGTTGTTTCAACTCAAAGCACTGCCTTCCTGCAATATCTTTTCTGCTCACTGAAGACAATGAGCAGGAGCCGCAGGCTGGTACTGGTCACATACTGTGGCTGAGTGATGAACACTATATTTCTGTGGCCACGCTTCAAAGGTAAAACGATAGCTACACAGCGGATGCTACCCACCTTTTTATAAATTAGATACAGATTTAATTTAATAAATCTGAGGAAGAAGACCTGACTGCAACAACAACTACAACAACAACGTGCATTTATATAGCACCCTTCATGTCGCAGTGTTTAATTTGCACGTTTAAGCACTCTGAGCTTGACATTTAAGTGCTCCAATTGCAGGATTCTATTAACGTACACTTTTTTTTACAACACAGACAGTGTACTCCCCCCAGCAGCAATGCCCAATCTCAACTACGCGACTAAGAAAAACACAAGTTTTATCACAGGCTCATGCACCTCCCAGCAACTATCGAGACCTGAGGAAAGTGAGCTTCCCATCTATTTAACCAGGATATCCCACATGTACCTGGCAACAAATCCAATCATAATAACAATAATAATCCTTGCATTTGATATACCGTCTTATCACGTCTTTGCCACCTTTCAAACAACTATAGATAAATAGTTCAGGAAAGTTTTCAGACACGACATTAAAAAACAATATATATTATCTGTCCTCAGGTAGGTGTTACAGATAAAACAATGTGGTTTTCTCCCTGTGTCCTGGCCAACAATCATCCAAATTAATCCCCTTGTGGTTGGCAGTATGGCTTTGCTGTTCATAAAATGACAGCTATATTTGTCTACAAAAGCACTCACTATACTTGGCAATAATGACTGTAAAGTGCTATGCTATTTAACTGTAGTTGTTGCCAGGTACATGTGGTATGTCTTGGTTAAATAGTCTCAACAGCTGCTAGGCGATGCATGAGTCAGTCTCCCTGTGAGATGTTTCAAGGGCTCTTCAGTCTTGAGAGGAGATGACTGAGAGGGAACCTTATAGAGGTGCATAAAGTTTTAAATGAGATTGAAAAAGTAAACCCAGAACAACTACATCAATTTAAGATAATTAGCAAACAAACAAATACGGATGTTAGGAGGATTTTTTCCCCACAGAGTAATTAGGATATGGAATAATAATAAGAAGAAACCTTGCATTTGATAAAGCATCTTATCATGTCTTTGAAACATCTCAAATGCTTCACACGATATACAGTAAAGTGAAATGACTGTATATATTTTCTGAAAGAAATACAGCAGTCAGTTGCACACAGCAATGTCCCACAAACAGCCAAAGAGCGAGTGACCAATTGTATTTGGGGGATTTGTTCTCCCTGGGCACTGGGAGAAACTCCCTTTTCTTTTCAGAAATATAAAAATATATTGCCGGCAGCGATGGTTGAGGCAGAATCCATATTATCTTTCAAAAGGGGACAAAACAAATACCTAAAGTCAACTACAGTGGTATGGGAAAAGGGCAGGCAATTGTGACTGAAAGGTTTGCTCTGAAAAGAGGCAGGACAGATACGATGGGTCAAATGGCCTTCTTCTATGCTGTAATTTTATATTGTTTTTTGATTCTAACAATACTTAAGGATGTACTAAGCCAATAGAAAATAAGGATATAGGCTTAAAGTTCCAAAGGGTAATTTCAAAATAGATCCCAGGGATTTTTTTTTAACCGGAAGGTGATTAACAACTGGAACTGCTTGCCAGGGAGGTAACTAAGGCCTGGACAGTAGACTCATTTGAAAAATGATTTGATGCTGTGATGGTAGGACTGGTATTCTGCATTTGTGAGATCAGGTAGTTAGAAGGGCCTTCTTTATCCAAACTAATCTTGTGAACAAATGAGCACTCACCTCACAAGCGAAAGACCTAGCTTTGATTCCCATCAGGGCGAAACATTGGGCAAGTTTCCTTATTTCGCAAACCTCTGTTTACCTATCAGTAAATAGGACCCTGGTTCTTTTGTCGATTGGTGGATTGTTTTTCTTTTGATATATTGTTTGTTTGTTATATATTATTTGCAGGTAATAATCCCTTCAAAATAAATAAATAAATAATAATCATGCGGTCACTCAATCCACAACTGTTTGTGGAACCCTGCTGTGCGCAATTGGCTGCCACGTTTCGTCCACAAAATATACAGTCAATTCACTTTACAATATATTCTGTGAAGTGCTTTGAGACGTCTCAAAGACATGCTAAGACACTAAATCAAATGCAAGGTTTATTATTATTTATTATTATTTAAAAATGAAAGTGATTTAATTCCTTCTTCTAACCTGAACGTTTGGGAGAGATTGCTTCACTTCTGCCTTTGGTTCCAAATTCAAGTCCGTGAACTGCCTGTGAAGGAAACAATGAAATCATTTTTAATGCTGTAAACACGCATGTTTATTCTTTTAAAATATTCATGAGAAATAAACCCTGTCTGCTAGTTTAGATGGACATTAAAGATTCCATGGCACTATTTGAAAAGAGAAGGGAGTTTCCCCAAGTGTCCTGGCCAACAATCCCCAAAATAAAATTGGTCATTTACTTTGTCCCCAGTTGTGCGACATTGCCATGAGCAAATTAGCTGCCATGTTCACCCATAAAACACACAGCACAGTAACTGCACTGCACTGTGCTTTGGGACGTCCCAGCAACAACAACAACAACTAAATTACATTTATGTAGCAGCTTTCACTTTGGGAGGACATCCCAAGACATTGAACAGTTTTGGACTCGAGCTGAGGGTCGGGGTGGGGAAGGGGGGAGGGCAGAGGAGGAAGCAGGGAGAGCGAAAGCATGGTCAAAGAGGAGGGTTGAGATGGGTCTTAAAGGTGGTGCAGGAAGTGGCGAGACGGAGGGACTGTGGGATGGAGATCCAGAGGATGGGTGCAGAGTGGCGAAAGGCCCGCCCGCCGATAGCGGGGCAAGCAAGGCAGGGGACGTGAAGCAGGCAAGAGCCCGCTGAACGGAAGGGGTGAACAGGATAGTAGGGGGTTAGGAGGTCGGAGAAGTCAGGGGGAGCAAAACCATGGAAGTCTTTGAAGGTGAGGACCAGGATGAGGCATGAGAGGCTGGGCGGAGGAGTCAGTACGTGATGGAGAAGAGGACCCTAGGGTTGTCCTTAGCCTCCAAGATTGTCTTTGAGTAGAACAATGATTTAGCAGAGGCTGGGGTGGAACGGTAGGATTTGACATGGTCCAGCCAAATCTGCCGGTGGATAGTTAGGTTTGATTTGAGCCAAGTGCGCTCAGCAGTGTTACACCAAAGGTGTTATACTAAATGTAAGGATGATTATTAATACAACAACAACAACAGCAAGATTCCATTTATAGAGCGCCTTTCACGTCGGGAGGACGTCCCAAGGCGCTGGACAGTTGGGTCAGGACCCGAACATTGGGGGGGAAAATGGTCAGGGTGAGGGGAGGGAAGGGAGGGAGCGAGGAGGGGGGAAGTGGTCAGGGTGAGGGGAGGGAAGGGAGGGAGCGAGGAGGAGGTAGAGAGTCGAGAGGGGAGCTGAAGGCACGGTCGAAGAGAAAGGTCTTGAGACCGGCCTTGAAGGAGGAAAGGGAGGAAGCAAGGCGAAGGCACTGGGGGATGGAGTTCCAGAGCCTCGGGGCTGAGAGGCTGAAGGCCCGGCCACCGATGGTAGGGCAGTTGGGGCGGGGGATGTGGAGCAGACCGGAGCCAGAGGAACGGAGGGTACGGGCAGGTAGGTAGGGGGATAGTAGGTCGGGGTAGGAGGGAGCAAGGCCGTGAATGGCCTTGTAGGTGACGATGAGTATCTTGAATTCGATCCTCTGGGGGATGGGGAGCCAGTGGAGGCGAGCGAGGGTGGGAGTGATGTGGTCGCGAAGCCTGGTGCGGGACAGTACACGAGCTGCAGAGTTCTGAATGACCTGCAGCTTGTGGAGGGAGGTGGCGGGAAGGCCGGCGAGGAGAGAGTTCCCATAGTCCAGCCTTGAGGTGATAAAGGCGTGGACCAGAGTTTCAGCAGCGTGAGGGGTGAGGTAGTGCCGTAGTCTGGCGATGTTCCGGAGGTGATGGAAGGCGGTGCCAGTTGTGGTGCGGATATGAGGAAGAAAGGACAGCTCAGGGTCGAACAGAACCCGAGGTTCCTGACTGGCTTTGAGAGGTGGAGAGTGCAGCCTTGGATGCTGATGCTGTCAGCGCCTGAGGTGCGGAGGCGCTGACGTGAGCCAATCAGGAGGGCCTCAGTTTTGCGCACGTTGAGCTGAAGAAAGTTGTCTCTCGTCCAGGACTCGATGTCGGACAGGCAGCTGTCAGGACATCGGTGGTCGTGGAGTTGAAGGTAGAGGAGGAAAGGTAGAGTTGGGTGTCATCCGCATACATGTGGAAGTTAACCCCATGTCTGCGGATGATGTCACCAAGGGGGAGCATATAGAGGTGAAGAGGAGGGGACCGAGGACAGAGCCCTGAGGGACACCGCACGAGACATGCGGGGGCCAGAGGAAAAGCTATTTGCGGAAACAAAATGAAGACGGTGGGAGAAGTACGACCTAAACCACTCAAGGAATGGGCCTTGAAGGTTAAGGTGGGAGGACAAGCGGTGGAGGAGGATAGCGTGGTCGACCGTATCGAATGCTGCCGATAGATCGAGGAGGACGAGGAGGCAGAGGGAGCCCTGGTCGCAGATGGTCAAGATGTCGTTGTTGACCTTGACCAGGGCAGTTTCTGTGCTATGGGCAGCACGGAAACCCAACTGAAGGGGTTCGAATAAAATAATAATAATAATCCTTGCATTTGATATAGCGCTTTTCACGTCGGGAGGACGTCCCAAAGCGGTTCACAGAACAAAGTGTTAAGTGAATTGACTGTATATTTGTGGGCGAACGCGGCAGCCAATTGCGCACAGCAATGTTCCACAAACAGTCGTAGATTGAAAATGACCAATTTATTATTGTTTTTGGTTTTGGAGGGATTATTATTAAGCTCTGTGTGGAGTAAGGAAACTTGCCCAAGGTTTTGCCCTGCCTGGAATTGAACTCAGGTCTCTCGCTTGCAAAGCGAGTGCTCTAACCACTGAGCTACAGGACTCCACAATGCATGGATGGAGAGGAAAGAGCCCATCTGGGAGGCGACAACTCTTTCAAGGACCTTGGACAGGAAGGGGGGGTTGGAGATGGGCCGTAGCTTGATAGCTGCGACGCATTAAGAGAAGATTTTTTCAAAGTGGGAGTGATGATGGCAGTTTTTAGGGGAATGGGAACAGAGCCAGAGGAGAGGGACAGGTTGATGATGTCTGTGATATGTGGGGCAAGGAGGTGGAGCTGAGAGATAAGGAGTGGAGTGGGGATGGGGTCAAGGGAGCAGGTGGTGGGTTTCAGGGACAGGATGAGTTTGGTGACAGAGGGTGGGGAAACGGGTTCGAAGGTGTGTAGGGGAGGATGGGTAGGAGTCAGAGTGTGGGAGTGAAGGGGTCGGGGGTGGGTGGAAGTTGGAGGGGGTGTGACCGCGGAGCGGATTCCCTTGATTTTGGATTCAAGGAAATCCATCATCTCCTCGCAGTGAAGGTTGAGGAGATGACCTGCGCGGGGTGGCGGGGGGGATGGAGGAGTCTGGATGTGGTAGAAAACAGAAGCCTGGGGTTGTTCTTCGCCTCCAGGATTATCCTGGAGTAGAAGGACGACTTGGCCGAGGCTAGAGTGGAGCGGTAGATTTTGAGGAGGTCCAGCCAGATTTGTCGGTGGACCGTTAGGCCAGATTTGAGGCAGGTGCGTTCAGCAGCCCGCACCTGGCTCTTCAGTGAGCGGAGGTGGGTGGTGAACCAGGGGGAGGAGCGAGAGTAGGAGACAGTACGGAGGTGACGGGGGCAAGAGTGTCGAGTGTGGAGGAGAGGGTGTTGTGGAGGAGGGTGTGAGCAGAAGAGGGGTCAGTGAGGGTGGAAGGCCAGAGAGAGAGGAGTTCAGAGGACTCCAAGGCAGCGGTTAGGGATTCTGGGGGTAACTTCTTCCAGGGGCGGAAGAAGATGGTGGTGTGTCTGGTGGAGGTGGGGATGGGGGTGGAGGTGGTGAAGGAGATGAAGTGGTGATCGGAGATGGCCTTGTCGTAAAGGTGACATCCGAGACACTGGGTGATCACCAAATCAAGTGGGTGGCTGTGACTGTGAGTGGCGGAGTTGATGTGGAGGGAGAGGTTGAGCGAGGAGAGCAGGGAAGAGAAGTCCAAGTATCAGTATTATTATTATTATTATTATTATTATTATTATACTATTCGAAGAGTGTTTCTCCCGGTGTCAGGGGTCAACAATTGCCCAGATCACTACTGCAAAATTTAAATAATAACTTTTTGTACATTTCAGAGATAGTTGTTCCTACCTCTCCTTCTGTTTAAGATCTTGGCTTGTAGGTGGCGTGCTTTCAAGGGGTGCAGAAAGATTTAGATTTCTCGGGCTCAAATTGACAAGTGCTTCTGCTTCCTTTTGGATTTGTACTGGAGTTTCCTGATCAACTGCACAGGAGGAATAAACAGCAAATCAAAAAGCAATTTATCAACAGACACATTCTTATTTTCTCCACAAGTTTACATACAAAGATTTTTCAAGCTCAATTTGTCCCCCACCCTATCTGCCCATCATTGATGGTCTTTCAACCATTCTGTCCCTACTCACCGGAACGCTATCACAGAGTCCAATTATATGTATTGATTGCAAACTTCTTCAAATCAACAACAGTGAAAAATAAATGAAAGGACTTTGAAAGCAGTATTAGTGTAGAATCATAGAAAGTTGCCAACACAGAAAGAGAGCAACTGTATGCAAATAGCTCCAGCGGGACGATAGCCTTCCTATTTCCAACCCTATGCCTTTTCCATAACCTTTAACATTATTTTCCTTATTTTAAGTACTTATCCATTTCCCTTTTAAATGTTCTTATGAGCTCAGATTTAAGAGACAATTGTGGTAAAGTGATCCACATTCAACAACCCTCTGTGTAAAATATTTCCTCTAAACCTCCTATTCTATCAACAAAGATTAACAGCCAGTGGAGACAATTAACCTAAGAAAATATGCTGCTTGAACTTATTTCCTATTGTGCATTAATCTTCCTTCCCCTTACCGAGCACTAGTCCATTTCAGTTGACCTATTGTCCATTTATGTACATCCAAGTACTGTCAGTGTAAGTGTAAGTGATAGCATTTAAAATGTTATTTGACCAGTAATTCATTATTTCCAACATTAATTGATCTGGAAATGAATGGACAACACCCAAGCTCTTTAATAAGATTCTTGGGTCCTTTGGATGCAATAGAATTAGATTAAAAATGTGCTCAAATTGACCAGAATGGGATGTAATTTATGTTATTTCTTCAAGGAATTACAGAGAAATGCCCATGTGTAGGTGGCATATGTACCTAGAACTCTCAGTCTGGTTTGGATAATAATAATAAAGCTGGTGACAGGTTTCTGTATGTGTTGGACACCCAGCTAAATCCCAGAAAAAACATAATACTGAATCCTGTTAGAATTCCTGCCAATCCCCAGGGACTTTGCTCCATAAATTGACTGCATGAGTTCTGTGTTCCTATGGATTGTGATGTTGCAGTTTCCATAGGAGGAACCATTTGGACATAGCAGATTCCTTGTTAAGGAATCCCATTACAAAATGCCACAAGTTAAACCATATTGCCAGCTCTTTAAGGGATGCTCAACCAGACATTTTTGAAGAACAAAAAGTTACCAGATGTCTTCTTTTTCCAGTTAAAGGAATTCTTTATGATTTCGATGCCGCTGCTAAATTCTCCATAGCGCTTAGATTTTGCTTCATTGAACCATTCGCCTGTCAGTACCTTCAATTTATTGGGATCAAAGATGGACTTTTTCAGTTTGCTGCAGAATGAAAGCAAAAACAAAAGGTAATTCCTGTCTCATTGTGCTGTGTAAGATACCGGCAGCTATAGACAAGATTCTCAAAGGCAAGCACGACAAGTTGTGCAAATATAACTAATTGTTATTATAATGTCATTCCTCTTCGCAGCCACCTCTAAACGTTGGCTAAAAGCTAGATAATGAGGAGAATTATTGTTATGGTGAATACACAAATCTGTATTATGCAAATTCTGGTTTGCAGACCATCTAGCACATTGTCATGTGTGACACATTCATTTGTCTTGTCAGCACAGTTATTTCCATAAGTGTTTTATTTCCCTGAGAGTCATAGTCACAAAGCATTGGCAGCTTCCCCATGTTGGCAGCAGAATGTCTGGCAAGAATGAACACACATACAATCTGACGAAGGTGGAAGACTAAGGCACAAAGCCTTGTCAGTCAGCTAGAATGGTAATGACCACTTCACTGACACAGACTGAATCACCACGTAAACCTGAAACAAGCAACAATGAATCTCATATTGATTTGCTGAAACTACATATTTTTATTTTATGTTGCATTTGATTTTATGCCTTATTGCATCGTCAGGACACCTCAAAGCACTTCACGAGATTTACCATTTACCACAGTGCCTGTGCAAATTGCTTGTAGCTCAGTGGTTAGAGCGCTCACCTCTCAAGCAAGAGACCTGGGTTCAGTTCCCGGCAGGGTGAAATCTTGGGTAAGTTTCCTTACTCCACAAGCCTAATAATAATCCCTCAAGAAAAAAAAATAATAAATTGGTCACTTCAATCTACAACTGTTTGTGGGATACTGCTGTGCGCAACTTGGCTGCCACATTTCGCCCACAAATATACAGTCAATTCACTTTACAGTATATTCTGTGAAGCACTTTGAGATGTCTAGAAGACGTGAAAAGCGCTATATCAAATGCAAGGATTATTATTATAACAACGTCCCACAAACAGCCATGAAGTAAATGACCAATTTTATTTGGGTAATTGTTGGCCAGGAACCCAAGAAAAACTCCCTTCTCTTTTCGAATAGTCCCATGAGATCTTTAAGCTCCACCTGAACAGCCAGACATGACCTGGGTTTTAAAATCTCAATTGAAGGACAACACCTCTAATAATGCAGTGCTTTTACTAGCACCACACTGTCAGCCTAGACTATATTCGTTTAAAGTCCTGATGTGGGGTTTGAACCTACAACCTTCTGACTCAGAGGCGAGAATGCTGCCAACTCAACCAGTCTGATACCTTGACAGCAAATCATTTTGATTTTATCACCAGTTTCACAGTATAGATGATAACATGAACCGTGCTAGAGGCATACTGGCAGAGGTGGTGTATGGAGAGATGTAAAGTTGCACTCATCAGTAGAAATGTGATGGGTGTAAATAACACCATGCTCACTCTCTCAAGGCCTTGTCAAAGCTCACGGGCTGACCACAAAATACCTCAGTAACTTTGAAAGAACTGTTTTTATCAATAATTATTAAAGGGTCGATTGAACAGCCGGCCCATTAATAAAGTTAGAAAAACACACAACTTTGATGTTTTTCCCGCATGCAACTTTGACGCCAGTAGTATAATCCTTTCCTGGGTTCTTCTGATTTGTTGTGGCAAATAAATTGAATGTCATTTGTTGACGGTTATTCCATGAGACATAGATGGGAGACAGTAGTTAGAAGTGACCACGTTGAGGAAATGGATTCAGTGAAGAGGTTCGGGGCAGGTTTGAAGACCCACTGAGCTATTTCACCAGTCAGCACAATGGGGCAGCTGGTTATCAGGACGCACAGTGTGAACACAATGTAGTGTGAAAGTACAAATTGACTCTGCAGAGCAGTCAAGGAAATTATTCTTTAAATGAAAGTTATATTCAGCTGGTGTTTCTTGAGAAAAGTATAAATTCCCTTTGATGGGTTTAATACAGCCTATGTCACGCAATCTATATTTTAGTGAGTCCCCCATGAAGGAGGCTACTGAGGTGACGTTCCAGAGAACTGCTAGTCACATTGGAACACAGGTCCACAGAAATTATGAATCAGGAAGAGAGAGGGAAGCAGAGAAAATTGCAGTGGAATGGAAACTTCTGGTATCTCTTTAAGAGATTATTATCACTATGATTCTGTTAACACAGATCACAATTTTCACTCCCAATTGCAGGAATTGCAGGGACATTTCCCTGTGGGGACCTGTGCACTTAGAACTCTCAGTCTGGTTTGGATATTTAAGCATGGGGATGGGATTCCATAGGTGTCAGACAAACAACTAACCAAAAAAAACATTCATATAGAATCCTGTTAAAATTCCTCCGTCCATTTCAAAACTTGTCACAATCCCATTTTACAAGATGCTACACTTCTTCAGGACAAAACATATCATAAGAATTACAAGGGAATTATAATGAATAAACATTAGCACCATCAATGTAGGGTGTGAATCACCCTTCTATTTTACTCAGCCTGTGCCCCATACAGAATATTAATAACTAACAATCAAAACATTCCCATAAAGATTATTGTTAAAATATCTCCAAAAATCATTGAAAAAATGGATCTTTCATACTTGATTGATATTTAATGAACATTCAATTTAATAACAAACCTCAAAGTTATTGCAAAACCCTGCCCCAGGTTTTGAAATGGATATGCACTATTTGCCAATTTGAAGAGTACATCTAGCTGTGTTTTACAAATTCAGGGTAAGGTTAATACAACCACTCCCACTCCTATTACCGACACTTACTGAAAATTGGAAGAAATCACAATTAAATGGAGGCTACAAATGGTGATTTGTACTCTGCAATTTACATTCACATTTAAATCGATTAGAAAATGAATATAGTTTGGACTCCACCAGGTTAATTCAAGTGCCGTTTCCACCAGTTCAATTGACTTAAAAAATAAAAAAAAGGGAATTTTTACTTTGCTCAAGAAACACCAGCTGAATATAAGAATTTTTACTTTGCTCAAGAAACACCAGCCGAACAGAATCATAGTGATAATAAGAAAATGTGGGTCTTTCAACTAAAAAGAATCTCCTGAAAGGTGATTCGCAGACATAGTCAAACGTGTGTCAGGGCACCATTACATTCACATGAGGGTAGAGAAGAAAGGAGCTTCTGACAAAGATGCTTTTGAAGGCTCTCATGCTGAAATGTAACTGAGGAAATAAATCGGTGCAATACATTGTTATTTTGAAGTTTATGAGCATGTTGCAGAGCTGCTGCCTACAGTTATGCAAAATCTTCCTTACAACATCATCACTCCACTACAGAGTGCTACATAATGGAGGTATGCATCATTAAGATGTTGCCAGGTATCTAAATAATTGACAGCAGTTCAGTTGGTCATCCAAAGTCTGAAATGCTTTAGTTTAATTCTCTGTTGTTATCCAATTAGCACACTGTGGCCAGTATTTTCAACTTCCTGTACACTTTCAGAAAAAAGTGAAATTTGTTGCAAAACAGTGGGCTTGTAATTTATTTTCACACAGCCTCCTGCCACATCAACAGTCTTTTCCTCATTTTCAATAGCTCCCCCATTACCTGTGCAGTGATCTCCCATGGATATTCTCTTTTCACATGACGAGTGATAGTACCACTTGTGCTGCCTTTCCTTGGGTGCCTCTTTCAATAAGGCTGCTGTAATCCCTTATTCCACTGTAACAACCCCTTTAAAAATATATAATTTGTTCACTAAATCCACGAATGTTTGTGGGACACTGCTTTGTGCAATTGGCAGCCGCATTTCATTCATGAAATAGACAGTCAATCCACTTTACAATATATTCTGTGATGCGCTTTGAGATGTCTTAACAACTTGATAAGGCACTATACTAAATGTAAGGATTATTATATATCTCACTGAGGAAATGAATCATTGAATGCTGTGTCCTCCATTGTCTCAAAGTAGCAGAATTCTCAAGTTACTCTATTGCTGGAAGAGTCAGAATTAAGATTTAAGCAAAATGTTCATGTTCATGTGCAGGAATGTGTGAGAGAGTAGTTAAGTGCATGACATCCAGAGGAATGGTGTGCCAGATTAAAGCTGCATTTAGCAAAACAGCAAAAAAAAGATACTTTTAGATTTAAAAATTGTTTTACTAACTATGAAATAGGTTGAAAAATCTTTAGATTAAATAACAATGTTTTTAGATGTGGCAATAGACAATAATCTTGAGTGTCTGGGCACCATTGATTGTTGTGCCTATGCTTTGAAAATCATTCATTGGTTGTGCCTGAAGCAGAGAGAGTGAGATCAGAGCGAGAGATTCAAAAATGGTGAAAGCAAAATAATTGTACTTATGTGTGCCTTTCATATAGTAAAAAGTCTCAAAGTGCTTTATAGAGTAGAGTAGGAAGGTGGGTGGGTGGTAGGTGGTGGGGGAGAAGGAGATTGCTAAAGGCACAATCAAAGACATTTTCAGATGTAGTTTGAAACGAAGAGAGGGTGAGAGTGAAAGGATTTAAGAAGAGATGTAGAGAGCAAGCCCAATGTGGCTGTCTTCTGTTTTGTACCTAAAAATGAATAATATGCTACCAAATTCAATACCAAATTTGCTGAATAAAACTCACAAAGCACTGAAAACTGGCAAAAACTGAATTTCCAGCTGGCATTTTGCTTTCTGAACCTTTGTTGCAGTTTCCAGGTTTTTTGGGGATGAGAAATTACCTCTAACAAAACGTAAGCCATGTTCTCAATACGGAAGTTTGATTAGAGCAGACGTTTTGCTTTCAGGCTGTTCGTCACAAATGTTTCCCCTCCTTTCCAGAAGACATTTTGTATTTTTTNGTTCAATTAAACCATGGCTCCTTCTTTTTCTCCATCGGTGCTAATGGACACTTTGTTCGTTCTGTTTCTCTATGCATTACCCTGCATAGAGAAACTGTGGAGTCCTGTAGCTCAGTGGTTAGAGCACTCGCTTTGCAAGTGAGAGACCTGAGTTCAATTCCAGGCAGGGCGAAACCTTGGGCAAGTTTCCTTACTCCAC